TTAGATCAATTTGTTGTAGTTTTTGTTGATGACATCTTGATCTACTCCAAGTCTGAGGAGGAGCATGAGGGTCACTTGAGGATTGTTCTCCAGACATTGAGAAAGCATCAGTTGTACGCCAAATTCAGCAAGTGTGAATTTTGACTTACGGAGGTAAAATTTTTGGGGCATGTAGTGTCGACTTCAGGTGTATCTGTGGACCCGGAGAGGTTGAGGCAGTTACGAATTGGGAGAGACCGAAGTCAGTCTTCGAGATTCGTAATTTCTTGGGATTGGCAGGGTACTACCGGCGATTTATTGAGGATTTATCCCGATTGACTGCGCCTATGAAGAAGTTGACCCGGAAAGAGGTCAAGTTTGTGTGGAATGATTCTTGTGAGAATACATTCCAGGAATTGAAAAGGAGGCTTACTTCGGCTCCTATTTTGATAGTTCCAGAACGGGAGACAGAGTTACACAATCTATTGTGATGCCTCGAAGGACGGGCTGAGACGTATTTTGATGCAGTTCGGGAGGGTAGTAGCTTATGGTTCTCGGCAGCTAAAGAATCACGAGCAGAATTACCCCACACATGACATGGAGTTGGCGGCCATTGTCTTTGCCTTGAAGGCTTGGCGTTACTACCTGTATGGTGAGCAGTTTGAAATATTTTTGGACCACAAGAGTCTGAAGTATATTTTCACACAGCGGGACCTCAACATGAGGCAACACAGGTGGATGGAGTATTTAAAGGACTATGACTTCACTTTGCATTACCATCCTGGTAAGGCAAACGTGATGGCTGATGCACTTAGCCGAAGGTCACGAGGAGTTTTGGCTAGTGTAGTTTCCCGGGAGTGGCAGATGCTCGAGACTGTGGGACAGTTCGGGCTATGTTATATGGGTCAGACTCAGGGTACTTTGGAGAGTTTGGTGGCTACGCCGTCTCTACTGAGCAGGGTGATTGAGTCCTAGAGTCAAGACATGTAGCTATTGTCCATCTGGGACCGTGTACAGGCAGGTACAGGTGACGAGGGTTAGGCTATTCACTTATAAATGAAACCAGTATGATCATTGTTGAATATAGGACCTCATCTGGGTCTTGTTATTATATAATGCACAAGTTGTGTTTTGAGTAGAGTTCTCCTTACAAAAGAGACTCTGCCTAAATTTTAATAAAGGATGGACCCCGGTAAATGGGGCATAACGTTGAGATATCGAGTTACTCGGTATCCACGGGCATTCCGCGGGTTGATGAGTAATCAACGGACCCCCGGATTTTGGGGTGTCACAGATTTAGTGGTTTATGTTTTGACAATAGTTTATTATTTTTAATTTTTAATGTTCGTGTGGTTTAATTGTGGATGTATTGTTATTAACTAATTGTTGTTAAATGTCATATGTTAAAAGTGTATTGTTTGTATCTTGATTTAGGTTGACTTTGTTTAATTTCTAATTTTATAATAAAACGTTGCATAAAGTTAAAAATATTTCTATTAAACACACATAAAATACATAATATCTCTAAGTTTAGTACTTCTTTTTCAAAGTTTGACAGTTTAACATTTGACCTCAATAACCGCATACATACCGTCACTACAATACAAAAATCAGTACCCAAATGGACAATGTCACCATTTTTGGACATGTAAATTATTTACTATAACGATTTTTTTAAAATCTTTGATATAATGTTTCATTAAAAACCATTATATGTTTATTATATAATTTTGCATCCTTCTTATTACAAACTGATTCATACGTAGAATACAATGTAAGTAAATATTCTTATCATGCATCTTAGTACCTATGATTGATGTTTACTTCTTACTTCTTATCAATTAATGGCGTTTAAATTGTCTTAATAATCCATAAATAAAATTATCAAGTTATTATTCATACAAAAAATAAATCATTACTGTATAAAAACTTATAGTTCTCAGTAAATTAAAAAAAAATTCAAAACCCAAGTTAATCAGCAATTAAAAAATATAAGTGATCAATACAAAAAAAGTAAGATACCAATTGTACCAACAAAAAATGTTCAAAATCAATCTAATCGCTATGTGATTAAATTATTCAAACATCCTATCTTTGGGTCTTGAAATTTTATAAGTAATATAGTGTCTTCAGGCACGGGCAATGACTAGTCTATATAATAAAGTAGAATAAAGTTTGAATCCAAAAGACAAAGAGAGGTCCAAATCATTTTGAGACAAAACGTAAACACATCCAACGGACAACGTAATTCTAACATAAAAGACGATTCAGATTATCTCAAAAAATTTGATGTAACGGTCTACAATTAGTTCTAAATTTCTTTTCTCGCTCATAAAGAAGCCTCTTATCGTAAGATTCTACACTCCTATATCTCATATGTCTCTATCTTAAATTTGAAAAAGCACAATAACAACTCATATTGAATTTATTTTAAATCAAATGATCTAAATGTTATATGTTAAAAGTCTATTGTTTATACCTTGATTTAGGTTGATTTTATTTAATTTTTAATTTTACGGTAAAACTTTACATAAAATTAAAAATATTTATATTAAATACACATAAAATACATAATATCTCTAAGTTTAGTGTTTTTTTTTCAAAGTTCGACAGTTTAACATTTAGCCTTAATAATCGCATATACATCGTCACTACAACACAAAAACAAATACCCAAATTGATAATGTCATCATTTTTGGAAATGTAAGTTATTTAGTATATCGATTTTTTCAAAACCTTTGGTATAATATTTCATTAAAAATCATTATATACTTATTATATAATTTTTCATCTTTATTATTATAAATTAATTCATACCTAGAGTATAGTGTAAATAAATCTTCTTATCACACATCTTAGTACCTATTATTATTTCTTATTTCTTATCAATCAATGAAGTTTAAATTGTCTTTATAATTCATAAATAAAATCATCAAATTATTATTCATACAAAAAATAAAATCATTAATATATGAAAACCTATAGTTCTCAGAAAATTTAAAAAAAAAAATTCAAAGCCAAAGTTAATCAGTAATTAAAAAAAATAAGTGACCAATACAAAAAAAATAAGATATCAATTGCACCAACAAAAAATGTTTAAAACTAATCTAACCGCTATGTGTTGAAATTATTCAAACATCCTATCTTTGTGTGTTGAAATTTTATAAGCAACGTAGTGCCTTTAAGCGCAGATAATGACTAGTATCTTAATATAAATCTTCTATATATAAGCATTTTTTTATATAAAATGTTTTGTGAACAGATACATTTTGGCTTTTTGTAAATATTTTATTTACGTAAAAGTCATTTTTCTTTATGCATGAAAAATAAGTTTAGACAGCTAATTATGGGATTCAGTTCTCTATTTTAATGGGATAATTTTCTTAATTTTTTATTCTATTTTAATGGATAAGTGTTTCTCTAAATTAAAAAATAATTAATCGTTTGAATTTTGAAATGATTGCATTAGTTTTAAAAAGGTTTCAAGTTCTCTCTATATCTGACTTTCACCGTTGATATCTCTCTCCCTATTTTATCTCTCTTTTTCTCTCCATTCGTTACTCTCTCTCGCCTTTATTTTCTCTCTCTCTAGTTATGCAATATTACATTTAAATCACATTGTGTAATACCCACTCTGTGCAAAAACACTGCATATGATGCATAGTTGCATTGTAACATTGAATTCACACTATAATACTCACCATGTGTTTTTGAGTCTTTATGTGAGTTACAATGTGATATTATCCATGTGCAAACCCTGTACATAGTGTCTATATGTAGTGTGATATTAATGTCACATTTGTGATGTCCACAGTGTGACATTGACATCAAAGTGTATGTCACAAAAATATATATATATATATATATATATATATATATATATAGAGAGAGAGAGAGAGAGAGAGAAATAGAAAAATAGTCCTTATTTTAGAAAGTATTTAAAATTAAAGATTATATATTAGAGTTAACGAAATATTTCTAATACAAGAAAATCTTAAAATTTAAGAACTTTAGAAAGAATTGAAAAAAAATTCAAATTAAGAAATTTGAAATTTATTTAAGTTTTGAATTTAATTATGTATATGTGTACGTACATATATATGAGATATAAAAAGAAAGAGAAAGAGAAAGAGTTATAATATAAGAAAATTCTAAAATTTAAAAGTTTTAATTTTCAAATTAATTAATTTCCTTATCTGATTTTTTTAATAGTGATGTGATGATGATTAGGGATACCTTGATCCTTCAGCTTTAAAGTGTATTTTTTATCAAATATTTTTAAAATTTATATTTAAAATCAAATAAGTTATAGAAAGTATACCAACTTTCAAAAAACCTTTTTTTCAACGGTGAATGATACCACACACTCTAAAAAGATTCTCAAATTCTCAATTTACACTCTCAAATATTATCTCATATTACACTTTTGGTTAATACAAAAGTAACAATATAATCCAAAAGTAATTATCTGACATTTTTTTTTATTATATTTGTCATAGCATCCTATTTTTATACATAATTATTTATATAATACTCAATTTTAAATGTTTTCGATATAAATTTGGTACTCGAGCACATTGTGATCTTTGTGACTGATTGAGGATCAATTATAAGCATTTCAATCTTTTAGATTTAAATTAAGAATGTGAATATATTTCACCCGATGGTTCGCCTTTGGCAGGCCCTAATCGGGCCATCACGTCACATCTAACAGGCCCAAAATACTGTCCATGTCTAATGTTGCCCTAAACTCTAAACCACCCTGATAAAAAGTGTGCTAAAGTGACTCAAACTGAAAAAGGCCTTCACTCACCCTCATTCGAGTTTGCACTTACGGGAGAACTGGACCAAGTACGTGCCAACAAAAATATCTTTACACCAGTCTCTACAGTTATTCATAACTCAGCTAAGTAACTAACCTGCTTTCTTAGATTTACATTGGCTCGAATCGGTGCCTTGTACATTAAAATTCTTACATTCCAACTATGCAATCCATAACTAGAAAACATCCGACAGTTGCAAATCGTGCATTACAATAAAACACCCATCTGGCATAGGGACGAATTAATTCCTCACTAAAGTAAGAGGAAAGCCAAGTCAAAAAATACCAAGAAACAACAACTTCAATAACACCCGTTTGCTTGTTAACAAACAGCAAAAAAAATGCTTATCTAAAAGAAGAATAAAGTCCCAGAGATAGGGCAAATTATCTGTGATTCCACCTTGTATTTCTCATCGAAGCCAGCATCAAGCTTCGGGTTCCAGCTTTCACTATTAACATATGCCATATAAATAGATATACAGAAAAGATAATTTTTTGGGGGGATGGAAGAAAAACACCAATCAAAACTGGCATTATGCCATAGTAAGTACATTAGATACCATCAACTTCATGAAGATCATAACCCAAAAAGGGGAAAAAGTTTAAGAACCTTACAGTCAAAAAGAGGAAAACAAGACAAAAATTAAAATAGCACCGAAGAATATCTTGTGCCCACATTCCCAATCCCAACATGTCGAGCCAAATCGCAGAATTCTGTTGTAATCACCATTTATTGTTAGATACAAAAAGCATGAGCTAACCTAGTTGCCCCGCAAATATAACATCCCTATTACTAACAATAAAATAATGGAAAAGGTTGGACAAAACAACACAATGAAAGCAAATTGACACAAGAAAGGTTTGATGGTAAACTTACATATTTTATTGAAGGCAACAATATCACAGCTCTGAACATACTCGTTCACTGGTTCAGCAGTTAGCTGATCCTCAATAAGATCGTCAACAGATACCAAGTCATCCACGATCGTAAGCATAATCTGCAATTTCTTGATACCATATCCAACAGGTACGAGTTTGGCTGCAATACAACATGTTGATTAATCATTTTCCAATCACAAGTAACATTATAGGTTTGATTTGTTCTCAAGTAGTTAGAAAATCTAAAAAGTTCCAACCGCAATCTGTTTGATAGAAGTACAATCAAGAAGTAAGATGTATACAGTTTGCCTCAAATAATTGAGATAAAGGCTTTATTGAGTCGGGAACTTTAGGAACAGGAAAATGTAACTTACAGCATAAATACCATAACAACATTAAGTCTTTTCTTGTGATTTTTCCCCCTTTCTTAGGATTTTTTTTTTTTTTTTGGTGGCTGGGTGGGTTTGTTGATTTTTTTTTTTTTTTGGGGGGGGGGGGGGGGGGATGGCAGCTGCAAATTTATCTGCCATTATTTATGTTCAAAACCCACCTCTCTACTGAGACATCAGGCTCTATGATGAACCAACAAGAAAACTGATTGCCACAGACCACCTCAGAACTGTTTCTAAACAACATCAGCATCTGGTTTAAGGTTAGATGAGAAACTTACAAGCTCCCCAGAGCAAGCCTTCCATATGTACACTTCTAACTGCTTCCTCAAGCTTCTTCATGTCAGTCTCATCATCCCAAGGTTTCACATCCATCAGGACCGAAGACTTTCCGGCTGCAAATAAAATCTCAAGACAAATACATGTTAGAACAAGGAGGGTGCAGGACAACCTCAGGTTTAGAAAGCAAAATATATGTGCAACCCTAAATAATAAGTGAACTGCCTGCTGTACTGAAGACTCAGATAACATTTTATGAATACATTGAGACACAAGGATCCCAGGTGCCAGAAAAAACATATCCAATTAAGATTCACGTGTGTCGCCCAGGGCACAAGGGGCATGATGACTTGACATCATCCTCTTTGGTTTCATTGGAATCAATATTGCTATTTCACAGCTGCAATCATTGATTATAGGATCAAGGAAGGACGAGTGCTTAATGACTGCTTCTTTTAAGCCAGGCCACCAAAGAATTCCACCTCGACTAAGGGAGCCTAACCAGAGTTGCAGATGCATAATCAATTTTTTTATTAAAACTAATTCTATAATTAGGAAGAAAAAGAGCATTTCAACCATATGAATATTTTCAGGTATGCTAATCTTAAAACACAGAATTCCAGCTTGTAATAATGCACAATTATAATTAAAAAGATTTATCTCATAGACAAGTTTTAAAAAAGCTCACACTCTTTCTTTTTTCCAGCTGCCTTCACGGCAGCTGCACGTTCTTCGGCAGCCTTCTTTTCCTCTTCAGTCTCCTCACCAAACAGGTCCACATCATCATCGTCATCATCCTCAGCAGCTGAGGACTGAAACTTGCATCATATGAAAAATTAGTCCAGAAAACAAGAAGACCAAGGATTTAAAACCCAATGCAGGCATAGATAAGCTTAGTTGAAAATTCAGATGGTGTGCTTTCTGACAGGAAGACACACTACCAATCATAAGTTTAGGAAAAAGAATACGGGCAACCAAATTAACAAGAGAAACTAGCCCAACCATCATTACATCCAATGAAGATGGAAGCCTAGATAATCAGCAGGCATAAGTATATAAACTTGCCTTAGTGTCAACAACTGGAGGAGTTGAAACAGCCTCCTCAGTGATGGGAGCAGATCCCTCAACAGTAACACCACAACCTTCCGCAGAAACACCACTGTAAATCAGAATGTAATCATTCAACAAAACAGTAGCATAAAGTAAACAACACCATGATCAATTTAAATTTTAACTGTGCAATCAGGCTGCTCTTGTAGATTTGACACTCTTAGATGAAACTAAACAACAAAATCAATTAAGTAAGATCTAAGAACTTACGAAAGCCTCAGAAGTGCCTCAATGTGGTTGTACCACCGAGCCACATTAACATATTTTGATGATGGTGGCTTTGAAAGAGCTGCATGCACAGTGAGGTCATCCTTTGAAGCTTGGTACCTGAAAGGAGCAAATTTTTTACTAGAACCACAATCCACAAAAGATGAAAAACAAACATACTCACATTAAGAATAAACAACACTCACCCAGTAATGTAGCTACGAGTTAAGAGAAACTCATCAAGCTTTTTGAGGCCAGCCACTGAGCTGAGGTCGTAAAATGTGACAGCCATTGCCAGATAGAAATGTGGTTTTTTTCTGCAAGCATATCAGAAAGTAGCGTAGAGCTGTATTAGTGTTCCAAGCACAGCTGCCGATAAAAGGGCACATCTATTATAAAACATAGCTCCAATCTACATTATAATCTTCAAATTTAAGCTATTTATGATCATGCAATTGTGATACCACTCAAGACAGATATCCTGATCCCAAATTTTATTTTCTAACTTCCTATTTTTTTCATGTGACTCTTTCATGACTGTCAAAAATGGGCCCCCGAACTTGTGTATACCTGTCTAACACTAGCAAATGCAGGATTTCAATATAAATCACAATTACATGCTTGATGACAAATCCATTCTATAGAACTCATTTTTCAGTGCACGCAGCATGGGGCGTACACACCAAAAAATAAATGTCCTACCACTTAACTTCAAATGGTAATGTTTTCCTGCACCAGCCAATACAGCCCAGTATGGGCAACATAGATATTCATGAATTAGTGAAAACATTAGGGCTTTTAAGGCTTAGGAACTCAAACTTACAGCCATGAGCAAGAACAGAAAACACACTTGCTCGAATAGAACTCGTTTCTTAAAAACATAAATTCAATAAACAGTAATCCTCTGAGATGACTTTTTCCAAAGATTTTTTTTTTTCAAAAAAAAAAAATCAAATCTCTTTCTTGTATATGCCACAGGTATTTGTCTATTCGATAATCAAAAGGAGTGTGCGAATTTGGAAGCAATTAATAGCTGTACATATTAACTTAATCAATTCTCTTAACAAATTCATGATTCTACTCCCAACACCTAAAAAGGACAAGCCATCATTCCCTTAGAGAATTTTCATATAGTCCGTTCCACAGTCCCCATCCGGCTGTACCATATCAAGCCAACTAAAACTACGGCTGTATCCTATAAAGTAATAATCAAAATACGTGAATGAAACACAACGATAAGGCAATAGTTCATAAGATCAGAGAAAGATATGAGCAAGAACAGGAAAGCTAGAAAAAAACTAAATCAACAGAAGCTGTATATTTTTTAGATAAAGTTGTGAGAGTCTGAAAAAAAACTAGATCTAAGAAAGAGGAGTATTACCGGCGCCGGAGGTTTGTTGGAGAAGCTTGGGAGCTGTCTAGGGTTGCTAGCGCTGAGTGACGTGGAATTGATATTGCTCAGCGCTTTATATATGGAGTCAGGGACTGATTTGGTATTTCAAAATTTTTCTGCCTTAAATAATAAATTTATAACGGCTTTTAGGAACCCCGATTATTGTTGACCCGGATGTGGCGGGTTCAGGGCCGGTGGAAGGGTAACAAATGGCATGGTAGTCATTAGAATAGGGCCAGAAGAAAAGTGTCCATAGGAGAACATGATCAAGACTGGGAGGGAGAGAGATCTTACATCCACGAAAAAAAAAAAACAAAACAAAAAGAAAGAAAAAGCTGCATCAATACAGTGAATTATTTGGAAGATCAAGCAACCACCTTAGTCATTGTTCCTTATTTGGTTTATCTTTAATTATCATTCTTTGGGCATTACTATGCCTTTGTGTGGGAAAAGAAAAGGGAGGGGGATAAGGCTGCCCTTAGCCTTTAGAATTGAATTCTAAATCAGCGTGGCGTTATTGGATGGTTCTAGAACAATAAAAAGAGTCAACAAAAAAGAAAGACCACAAAAAATAACGATTACCAAGATACACATAGTGATTCGATCTTTTGATTACCTATTTTTAGAAAACTATTTCTGAAAACTTCCACTTTATACACGAAAGATTAAATTGTCTGAATCACAAATCTTATATACTATGTTACGATCACCTTATATTTATAGAAAGTTTAGAGAACAATTTGAAATGTGTGTGCATTCATATAATTGTGATCACGATAGTGATGGTAATGATAGCGATGATGATGAAATAATAATGGTGATGGAATGCGGGGTGGTAGTAAAAAGGGTGGGAATAACAATGGGGAGAGGGGGAAGGGGTGAGAGAGGTAGCCATTAAGATGATGATGGTGGGTATTTATAATTACACTACTAAATTTCAATGTATGTGAAACTTTTTGATTTACTAAATTACCCTCAAAATATATAAAAAATAATAACCTAATTTTTAATAATTTGTTATTACTCTATATAAACACTTATTGTTCACCAACATATTTTCTCGTAACATACTTCCTAAAGTTAAACACACTAAAAAAGAGTATTCTTAAAATTACTCCAACCCATTATGACCTCTTAGAATTTTGTAACTATTCCTCATCATAACATATTTCAATTTCTCCTTATTATTTTTAGGATCTTAAACTTACCCTCAAATTAAAAGATCCCCGTAACAAACCTTATGACAGACCTTTTGCCTTCACACACCACACTACTATATTCTCTCACTTGTTAGCCCCTCCTTCTATTCTTCTATTTATTGCCTCGGAAGGAGTTTATCTACGTTCACCCTAAATTGTTTTGTAGGGGGCTCCCCGATGGTAAACAACAAGAAGTTTATCTGTCGTTGGATCTTTCAACTAGACGAATATTATAGGTCTACTTGGATTAGGTAAAAACTATGGTTTAAAAAGTTTCGCAAAAATCAAAATTAAAAAAATCCCCCAAAACCATTTGAGGTGTTCTTTAAAAAGTTTTAGTTTAACAAACCCGTCTAAAATAACTTACATACTTTTTTGCATCAAAATAAAAAAAAATTATATGTATATATAAATTATGCATAATTATCCTAAAATATGAATTTTTAATTTTTTTTACGTTACAAATAATATTTTATGAATATAATAAATTAAAAAGTTATATAAGACATGCCACAAAAAATTTAAAAACAATCATAAAATCAACTTTTTAAATCAACCTTTTTATAATTTTTTTTTTCTTGGGGGAAGGAGAAGAACAAGGAAAAAAGAGAAAAAACTTAAACCTTTAATCTCAAGAAAATAAAACCTTTACAAAACAACGAATGCTATTAGACTAAAGACCCGCTGGTAAGCCTAAATAAGCCTTTTTTTGTCCAAAAAAGTTGCTAGATAAACCGGTAAAAAAACCAAGGTCCGTGACCAGACTTATTTTACTTCATAACCTGGCTCCAAACATACCTATATCTTAACATAAAAGCCAATCATCGTAGCTTCCCCTTTACATCCTAAACAAAACCCAAGGACCCATATCACCAGACTGTCCTTCGATGTGCCAATCAATATGTGCAAAGTATACAAAAAAACTCATGAAGCTCGGACTTCACTAACAAAATGAATCAAGTCTACTGCAGAAGCATTCCAGTCCTTCATGGGTAAACCAATCTTTTTTCATCTGTAATGTTCAAAGAGAAAAGATACCCCATCAGGTGAAATATTTACTATGCCTCATTAAAAGAAAATGACACAAAGGCCATGGCAAAATATATAACTTACAAAGTAAGGATACCCTTCAGAGATGCTAAAATTTTCTGGTGCACTCTCTAAAAATAGGTTTATGTAGTACAGAACAAATTTCCCACATTCCTCGCCATTTTGCTGCTGCGGAACCTGAGATGTGCGTGTTCAATCCATACAAAATCACAACTCAGAGAAATAGATCAATAGAACGACTGAGAACAAGCATGGATTGTTGGGCACGGGAAAAGTGTGGTTAGTAAAATAACTGAGCAAAGTATGGTTACCTTAGGAACCAAAAGAGGAATTTTGCAGATCATCTTTTTGGTCTCTGGCCTATCTTCTGCTTTGTATACGTCCGACACAAACCTAAGGCAAAATAAAAACAAAATACAAAAATAAAGAAAAGAATCACATATTTTGAACACTCAATTTCAAAAGAATGATGAAATAAGTAAAAAGGCAGAGCATACAAGCAAACCTTCTTATCCCAGGTTCAAGCCGCTTAGGGTTTGCCATTCGCAGTGAATCCAGCAACAACATGCAGGGAGTTCTGGTTTTTGACTGTAGACTTTCACCGAAGTGGCAAAGAATCAAGAGATTCCAGTGACACCTGATTGAAATTGAAAGTTAAATCAAAAAATATTGAAGAACAGTAAGGATGAAGTACATGTTGCAAAAGAATTGCCTACCAGTGAACAATGGGAATGAAAACATATTTCTTTGAGAAAATGTCCCTCTTCTTAATCCAATTCAACACCTTTGCTTTGAAAGATTCTTTCATGTACAAGGTGAACCAGAGGCTATCAAGATACGTAAATGAGCACCTCTTCTCTTCTGAAAAGTTTCTCCATAGATTCCTATCCAATCCAGAAAACGTATTTCGTAAGAAAAGGTGACAGAAAGACATTGCAGTTTGTTAATGGTAGATCACAGAAAAGTAGAGCTTACTCCAAGTGTAGTTCAAACATAGCACTGTCTAACTTCCCTTGTTGCGACATAATCATATTACTGCAGTTCACATTTCTATTAGATTGTCCACGACACCGAAAAGAACATGGCATAGTTACTTCCGAATCACTTGTCTCCTCAGCCATTTGTTTACTTTTTCTTTTTCCAAAGACACGGGTACGTTCTGTAGTACGTTGCTGAGTTGGATGCCATTCCCTCATTTGTTCTCCACAAAACGCTGTCATAACACAATTTACTCATCAAACATGTAGTCATTTATTGGTTACCCACCATAGATTATGATGTTTCAATCAGACCAAGCTGATTGGTTATTTAGAGGGGGCTTCATGATTCATCCTGGATCACCAATACAAAGCAGACAAACACCCACCCAAAAAGAGAAGCACCTTTGAGATGACAAACCTGAGAGTCAGTTGAGGGGCACCTAAACTAACTAAACATTTTTCGACCCTCAAAATAAAAAACAAGATAACCTTGATAACTACCAAGCTTCATGCAGTAATAAGGAAAAGTCCCAATTCCACATAAGAGAAGAATAATAGAAAACAATTCGAGCCAATGATTGAAAGTCTAATACACAACTTAGTATGGAAAATACCAGCATTTTGAACGGTAGTTATCCGTTTGCTGATAATTCTTCTCTCTGATCGGTGGCGATGAGGAACTTTAACAAGCAAATATGGGGAACCTAGTTCAAAGATACTTATCTCTTCATCAACCTGAATGCTTTTACTATTCTGAAGTGCATCTGGGCATGCTGCAACAAGCTGTTCATACGCCTGCTGTTTCACAGTGCCTTCTCCGCCAACTTCTATTATAACACAACAAACTAATAAATATTTACCACCCAGCAAGTCAAATTTCAACTATTTAGCCCACACCCTAAAGCCTGAATGTCATTATAATTACTGTAAATAAAAAAAGGCATTTGTAGTTCTGGTATAAGCTCCCTGCAAATATTAGCCACAGGGCAATTTCTTCCGAGTCAACCTTTCCTAGTAACTGGTTTAGGAGGCCAACAATAGCCAGGGCAAAATTGCAGCAATCCTAAATAAGAACTCCTAAAATTAATAAATACTATTACACCAAGTCAGAAAGCCATGTCACCTCCTGAGAAGCCACAAAACAATCAGCTGATCAACCAATTCTATACTCCTAATAAGAAGGGCCACCAGTTCATATATTACTCTTTCTGATATATACAATGGTGTTTCTGGGTTTGAGTCTATGGTTGAATTTTTGGAATATGTGATTTGGATATTACATATTGGGACAAGACTTTGTTGAGTTGATTTGGATATTGCTTGGGAATTGTTCACTCAGGTCATAAATCAGTATGCATTTTCCTGACCCAAAAAAAAAAAAAAAAAGTCTTGTAAACTTTACAACAAAATGTCAGTTGTTTCTTCATTACGGTTGGCATTGATTGATTACAGAGGCATGCTTAGAACTCATTACTTCTATGGCTTTTGAATTTTGAAAATTGTTTTTGGCCTTCCAACATCAAAATTGACTATGACAACTCTATTCAATAATTATCCAAAACTTCAAACTATCCTAATAGAGATTTCAGCCCTCAATTCAGCGTTGATGACCTCCCCAATCAACTTTAAAGCCTACAAGCATATTCAAACTGAGTTAGTTCTTCAAAAAGGTACAGAGATCACTCTAATTTGCCAGTGTTCTAACAAGTCATACCAAATGCTGTACTTTCTATTTTATGGTGCTGATAAGCATAATGACAAAGTAACAAAATTTAATCTTTAGTTTAAACCACTATTACATGATTGTGTCGGCAATATTACTGCCTGGCGATGTAAAACATGTGCACAGTTGTGACTTGTAATTTCAGTGAGGCTTAAAATAGAGAGGGTTGTAACATAAGAATATATTTCATACCTCTCAAATGCAAAACTCCCTACCAACAAATACCTTCCACAAGATCAAAAACAAGTTTACACTTGACAACTTTCACAACACAAGACCACCTACATAATAGAAAGTCTGAAAGTATATTTCGATTCAATTCGAGTCCAAATTTTGTCTTTTCCTTCTCTCACCAAAACAACTAAGCATTTGCGTGTGTGAGAATATGTGAAGCCGCCAAAGCCCTCGCTGATTAATACCAAATGCAAATTGCCAACCGAATTAACATGGGAACATTGAAGGATCTAAAAACTAACAAACCATAAACTAGGAACCAATCGAGAACTGAGTTATGACAACATTTCGAAGTTGATATTTCGCATCACCAAAGCCCTCGTCATAATTAATTGCAAACCCTAGTTCAGTGAACATCACTAAAACTCGTGAGACTTGACATTTTGCACACACATTGAACACTGAAACAGTACAAGTTCATAGGTAAAAGAAGAAGAAAAAACAACCACACGATGTCCTTGAACAAGTATAGCTTCACGAGCATTGAGTAAAGAAAGAAGCCCTAGTACCTGCAGTGATAGAAGACATAGTTTTGGAATCGGTTGCCGCTACTTCTCGCATTCGCTTTGATCTTCTGCTGTATTTCTTCATTTCCTTCTCTCTCTCTCTCTCTCTCTCTCTCTCTTATCGAGATGGAATGGATGCTAATGATCGGGAATGGATGCTAATGATGGTGACTCGACTCCTGGACTCCTGGGAGACGAAACGCATGGCGAAGTGACGTGGAAAGGTGTGCGAGAATGCTTCGTTTAAAGGAACTGTCAATTTCAGCACCATCCCTAGTATATTCTTATAATTTTACAGACATCCCTTATTTTATCTTAAATAGCATTACATCCCCTTCATTTTTAATTTTTCTTCGTTTTGAGACCTTTACCTATTGAACAAAAAAGGGCTAATGTCATACAATTTTTATGTCAAAACACTAGTATTATCCTTGTAAGACTTACACCAAATTGATGCATCTTATATGCACACAAATACGTTTACAAGTGTGATTTCACGCAAATCTCATCACTATAAGTGCACCCTCATTTCCACAAGCACACCTCTAAGACATTGCTCTTATACACATACCATAACATTCACCCAAGTACCTTTGTAAGGAGGTATGCCATGTGCAACTATCTTTGTGTGTGAGTTTACTTCCATATATTTGTTTGTACTTGTGTGTGTGCATGTCTATGTGAGCAAGTGTGTCTCCCTTCGTGTAAGTATGAATTATAGATAGAGCAAGAAGGGAATGAGGAAAAGAATGACTTCAAATAAAAAGAGAGTGATGGAGATGACATAAGTATAAAGAGGTTTTTTTTAAACTCACCCACCATCTCCAAAACATAAAAATGGATGGAGTTTGGGACTAATGGTTGATGAGGAACCCCTTCATCTATCTCTCTCTCTCTCACTAGTGGATATAGATGTATTATATACACACACATGTATATAAAATTTAACAATGACACTACGTTATTATTGTCATGTAGTATCACTAATTAATAATAAACTAACGTGTAAATAAGTAAAAGTTATTTAATTTAATAACTACTAAGTCTATAGAAGAAAATAATCACTGTATTTAGAAATAAAATTCATTTTGTTCACTTATAGATTTGTTATTAAATGATGACACTGTATAACATTAGTGGCTTGTTATCACCTTTACACCCACTATGTAGAGTTGTGTACTCATTATATAAGAGTACAATAAAAGCTATAATTACCAAATTAATGTACCAAATATTTCGTCTCAAATGAAATTAATATAGCTCACTTACATGATAGTGAAAATGTGCCGCACTATTTGAGATGAAGATTTTACTAAAAGTACATCTGCAGAAAATGTGAAGCTGGTTATCTTTGTAGAAGTGGCATGGATTAATAAACACCCATAAGGAAATTTGGGATATAGCAATCACAATGCATTGAACAGACCTACGTTTCCTTGTACAAAGTTTGTCCTTGGCATCAACTTGTACACAATTGTCACAAAACCATCTCAATCAACAATTTACTCTTAAGACAGGCTACAAGGCTAACTCTGTCTATATGTCATCCTTTCGTATCAAGAGAGATTTTACAGAAGGATACAAGATTAATGTTGCTGATGAAATTTCCTTGTCATTGTGTTGGCCATTGTTATCCAGACAACGTGAATGGATTTTATTGACCTTCTTGAAAAAAAATTCGAGAATGGCAAGCTGGTTCTGCCACTTTTCCAATCATGTAGTTCCCGTTGCCTCCTGGAAGATGAGTTGTTTCCGCCATTCTTCCACTCATTTTGCTGCCATTGCCTCCGAATCAGATAAAATCATATTCATATCCTCGAAATAAGGCCAACTACTCCTGCTTTCCTTATCATTCTTATTTCCCTGTTAAGAGATCAGAAGCAGATCATGAACAACGGAGGAACAGAAAGCAATTACCATCATCTGTAACACAGGCAGACTGAACCACTCTGATGGAGGGACAGTCAATGCACGCAAGTCAAGCTGCCTGCATGTTCTTTTACCTTCCAAAAAAAAAAAGGCGGCCTGGATGACCCTACGGGAAAATTGATGTGTGTGGCTTTATGCACAAGTATTTTTTATGCATATAAAGGTCGTGCCTTATGGGGCTTAAGGCTATCTATCTTTTGGTAACTTCAACTTCTTTAATCATGCAAATACTTCGATCAGAGACTGCAAATATTTTAAAATGCTTTTTATTTGCTTGGTAGCAATGAAAATCACCCTCCAAAAACATAAAAAAAAACAAAAGAAACCCTGACACCCAAAAAACAAACCTTTTTTGGTCTTCACAAACAAGATGAAATTTTAATTAAAGTTGACAGTTAATAGATAGGCACTGATGGATATGGTTAATCTTTCCCCCAAAAAAATAGAAACTATCATGCCACCAATTCAATGAGGAAATGCAACCAAAGTTATTATCAAGAACAAACCTCATATTTCTGAACCAGAGACGTCCATAGAGATTTGCATTGCCCTGGACTTCGGTTAACCCCATCAGCTAAGAGGTTTGCAGATATCTCTTCCCAAAGGGCCATTCGCCCCTTCACGACTTGGAATCTGCTATGGAGTTCCCCACGCTTTTTAATCAACTTCTTAACCTCGTCAGGTTTCCATTTGTTTTGTTTCATAGATTTGGAAGATTTTAATCGAGATTTTGGCATGTCTGGGTCACTTTCACTGCTTTCTTTCTTGGCCTTCTCCATGTGTTCCTCCTGCAGAACAGAACCATTGTTGTCTTTTTCCAATTGATCCACAGACATTCCTACCAATGAGCTTTCTTTCTTGGCCTCCTCCATGCGTTCCTCCTGCGGAACAGAACCATTGTTGTCTTTTTCCAATTGATCTACAGACATTCCTACGAATGATTTCCAGAAATCATCCGACTCCTTTGGGGTGGGAGAAAATTCCTCTACTGAGTCAGAACTTGAAGCAGTGTCTCCCTCGGATAAAAGTCTCTCAACTTTAATGCCATGACCTGCATGAAGACTAATTATGAGGAATGGTATGACAGAAAAGTAAAAACTTGGACAACACAAACCCATGGATCATAAGGACAGCATAACATAGTGCAGGAGTAAGATATAACATATCATGATCATGAGGAAAATGAAGCAGAAATTAATTAATACCAGGATTATCTCTTCCAAAGACAAAAATAGAGCTGCCCATGCAACTACTCATAAATCTATCCTTGCACGATATGCCTCCCTACAGTTGACAGGTATGGCCTTGGCCCTGGAATACACCAGGCACCAGCTGATTGAGGGTTGGGGTTCAAAACATGGGAATGCGATAAGGGAGTAGAGAATGCTTTTGTTCACCAGAAAACGAACAGACAGTAGATACAACACCAATAAGTTTTATAATAATGGTGTAGAATCATTTGGACAAACTGGATAGTTAGAATAGATGGAGCATACAAATAATCAAGATTCTAAGACATATGATTTGAATCAATCCTTGCACATAAAATGATAAAGAAAAATCTAAAATGAAAAAATATATCTTTCATTTATACAAAATCCATTTTTCTCCCAACGGGAGGTTCGTTTTTTTGGAACTACCATTTAAAGATGAAGAGGTTACTCATTATTATAGTTGGATGTGAAAGACATCTATTGTTTAAATTGAATTGTTCTTTTTATGCTCTAGATAATATAGGAGAGGAAATAGCTAAGAGTTGTCCTCATCCATATGACAAAACTTCCCTCTCACCCCCTTTCTTATGGCTTCCGAGCAGATGTTAACACTTACCTGGCAGAGTATAAAACAAAGTGGTGTGATTCGGCTTCACCAGAAGACCAGAGATATGACTTAACTATATATCTCACGTATGTAAACCATTTTTCGTATTTCCTAAGACAAGGGTAAATAATTAAAATACTCTTCCCCCCAGGGGCGGAGGGGATTTCCCACATACTCTGCTTCTCATGGGCAGCCCAGTTGTCAGTCCATTCGACCAACACGAACCTTAATAAAAGCCTTCAATGGTACCTCCCACTCGGGGCAAGAAATTAATCAAGCTAGGCTGAGTGTTAAGTCATTTATATTTGGCTTCATAAAGCTGGGATAACCTCGTAAATCTTGGTGGTTGTTACTATTATTCTGGAAGGTATAGAAAGGTTTAGTACCATAACTGTATGACCCTTGTACCATCTGTCATGCTGAGCTGAGCTTAGTGTAGGCCAAACTTGGTTCATTGAGCAAGCAAGCTTGGAAGATAAGGTCAAACTTGGTTTGTCCGACCACTTAATGGTATTGCAATATCTTGGCTCCAGCTGCTTGTGAGTCTTGGTTAAGTTGGAGACAACACACAGTAAAGGGAATCATGGTGAAATCACTAGAGAACACCACGTGCATATACATCAGAAGTCCAATGACAAAACGGATGCAAGCAAGAGTTTTGTGGATTTACACTGAAATGGTAAATAATCCCATGGTCTTTCACAAAAGCTTGCACAGGCCGTGGAATAGCCAGCATGCTCACAGATGGAATGCCATTTGTGGGATTGGGAGATCATGGCCAAAATTCAATTTAAGGCTTATTTTTATCTTTCATATCTTGTCTTGAGCCATGATGTAGTGTGGTTGCAGATATGCTGTGTTGCAACAAATGAAAATCAGTTTCACTAAAACATACACAGTACATATGCATGCGGGCACACTGGCGCACACACGGTTTACATGAAGACACCTTACTTTTCTTTCCACTGGTGATTTTGTATTTTCTATATGCATGAATGTGGGCAGGCAGATAGATAAGAATATGCACATATAAATAGAAACATAAGGATATGTGCAGTACAGAACCTGATGTAGCATAATTCAATATGAAAAAAATAGAACCTTCTGACTCTCGTGGCGTGGTGTCTACTGGATGTGTATGGCTGGTGCCTGCTTCCTCTTCTATTGTCCCCTTTGACCGCCTCTTTTTGGGATGTCCATCCACCACTGTTCTCAATGCTGATATCCCATTATCAACATGTGACTTGCCAGATAGCTTACGATTAAGCTCGTCAGTGAGAACTCCAGCTGGGTTTTCTATGGCAATCGCAATGACTTCAGGCCTTTTGCTACTGTATTTTCTCACCATTTTCCTCAAAACCTCAGACACAGTTCTTTCCATGTGGGCTAGAGGGCAGTTAACAGGACAGCTTGATAGTGCAGCATGGGCAGCTTTATTGAGAGCATCTAAAAGCTTCCCTTTGTCAAGCCATAAGCAACGTGTAGTGATTCTTATTTTTCCTTTCAACGTTTTTTCCTCTAAACCAGCAGTATTTCGAGGGCGTAAAATTTCCATGCTGCAACAGAAGGTATAAAGCACCCGTTATACGTGAGAGATGTAAATGTGGCTCATTCAATGCTCTGAATTTTTTACCTGATCACTATGATACCATCTGATGCAATCCTCAATCTCTCATCAATGCAAAGATCATTAGATGTACCAAATGCTTTGTCACCATCACTATACATCAACTGCAGTTATGAATAGAATATATGAATTTTCTCAGTTGAATAACAACACATTCGAGAGAGATTTAATAATCAACAACCTGCAAATTCTCTTTCCCCAAGGATATGAAACCATTAGACAGCACTCTTCTGTTCCTCAAATGTGAAACCCCAAGCATCTCTCCATTTTTTATAACCTGATAATAATGAAAGTAACATTACACTTATTATCGCAAGTATGATACTAGATAAATTGATACCATCCAATCAAGATATAGACTCCACTTGTACTCAATTGAGTCATAGCATGCATGTGAGGCAATTAGACAAAGCAGGCTTCTGACACTAAAAAGGCATTTCTCAATCTTTATGGTAGGTAAGAATTATCCACTAAAAGGCACCAAGGTGAAACATCCAAAGTCTACAAGGAAGCAATTGACAAACTATCAGCTGCACATATTCTCCTTGTACTCTAAATGGGGTATAAATCCTGGCCAGCCTGAGCCCAGATTTTTTAGGCTCTTCCTTTTTTAACTAGAAGTTGCTAAAAGTTTGCAATGTTTGCAGAAGAGAATGGATTTTAAATGGTTCAAGAAACACATAGTTGAAACTGGAGCTTCTTTCATGAAGTCTCCAGTTAATCAGATGACAGCTACTGAATTTACATTTTCCCAAAAAAATGAGTTGGTTGTATGTATGCAATTTTACTGTTTATGACTCGATATGTATATATATATGCCTATACACATATTTAGTTGTTGGTCCACCTTGCGTTGTGTGGGTTCCTCTCAATTTCTATCTTCTATTTCTCATATCTCTAACACCTACACGGCTACACCCTAACAAAGCTTATATAGAACTTCCTTATTCTCTTTGTATCCAAGGTTCATGCCACAACATAAGACTCAGAACTAGATTTCTTTTACATCACCAATCAAAATTTGATTCAACAACCTAGACCAGATACAAAGTCAACAAAGTGAAATAGAAAATTTAACTTGCTTCGAACTTAAAATTGACTCGGGGTTTGCCTCACTAAAATAATAAGCCATTTCATGGGATCAAACATAGGCTACGTCTGTCACCAGCACACACTTCTAAGGAACCCGAATTGATGGAGACTTCCACTGAACGATGGCATTTTTTCGGTTTCCTTTTTCTTTTTCTGAACTGGACAAGTGCAAACTCTGTGATGTAATCCTGGAAGAAGAATCTCAGTTCAAGTACGAGCTTAAATCCAAGCCATTGGCAAAGTACACTGCAACATGTTGGGTCATCAAAGAGAAAGACAAGGAAGTTATAACCATAGCATGTTAAAATACCTTTCAGGTCTTAATTTGTTCAAGATCAGTGATTTCCTATTTAAAACTGCCTTAAATTTCTGTCCATCTCACAGGAAGCATTCTTAAGACATCCCATGAACTCATTGTTCATAAAGGATAATTTAATGGTAAAGAGACACTTCTACTTCAACGTGATTTTCCCCTTCATTGAAAAGATTGAGAGTGGAAACTTAGCATCACGCTTGTAGCGCAGATTAATTCACGGACCCCCACCCTCTCTTGCTTCTTTCTTCCATCATCTTATCCGTTACCAAATAGCTGTTTAATGGAGGCTGGTAAGTGCAATTCAAACACGCACAATACTTATTACTTCTTTAACCAGTGTGGTGTTTTCTTTTTCTTTCTTTTTTTTTTTTTTTTTGGTGGGGGGGAGGGGGAGCAAAAGAAACAATCTCTCATATGGTATGAAGAAAAGGATGGAGAAAGAGAAGAAAAGAATAATCACTCTTCTCCATGCCTGGCGTATTCTTTCCACCCAAAAGCAAGCATGAAAAAGGAAGAAACTGAAGGAGCCTCTCTTAGATAAAATTTCCCTTTGAACAATGCCCTTCCCTCCTCGACAAAGAAGAGCTTGGGGGAAAAGGTGGTGTTCATGCCTCCTATGGTTCTACCTCCCCCCGTTGTTACAGATCCCCACCCCTCAAACTAAAGGAAGCATTAGCACATCTACATGATTCCATAAGAAAATGCAAGTCCAGCAACCGCACTGTCGATCAAATAGGTTTTATTTTGTACAAGAAATTAACAAAACTGGTACAGGGAATGGTGATGGGATTCTGGGGAGTGAGTGTTTCCCAGTTTCCCTTTTACAGGATGCAGAAATCAATTGATTTAAAACTAAAACAAGGATGTTTACCTAGACACTTTTTAAAGATCTTGACAATGAAACCAAGAACTTACAGCAGTGTGCTGAATACCAGTTGATTTTCCAAGCAATTCATGCTCTTTTAGGAACAACAGTTCTCCATGAATCGGTAAAAAATGCTGTGGCTTCACAATCTTCAGCACCTCCTCCTTCAAGAATAAACTCTAACGTTAGATAGTTTACCGTAAAATAATATTACAGGTCAAGGAAAATTGATGCCCGATGGAAAACACATCTAATCATCATTTAAATAACAGATAATGACAAAAACTTAATTCCTTAGGGGCCTGATAGATTTCAATCTCTCTCTCTTTTCAAACAGGTATAGATTTCAATCTGAGGGAGATGTAGAATTCAATCATTCAGCCATGTTCTCTTTCATGAGAAATAGTTCCTGCAGTATTCATTTCTAATTAAGTCTTGCTGGAATAAATAATTCCAACAAGACGAGAACAATATACCATGGGAAGCAATTTCAAAGGAGAAAAGGAAGAGAAGCCTGGATGCTAATAACAATCTTACCAGTTCTCCACGATGGCCATGACCAGATGCGTGCAGCTGCTCATTCTTACCCATTATTATTGATGATCCAATCTCTGATAGGCGGTTTAACATTTTCATCACTCGAGTCTCATTACCAGGGATCACCTAGAAGGCACAGCAAATAAGCAATCATGATGGCTGTGAATTTCTCAGGAAGGTTTTGGAAGTATATACTATATAAAACAACGTAGCCCAAAGGTCTAATATAGCAATTTAAGGAAACTGCATGCAACAATTGTACACGAACTCAGCAGTAAATCAACAATTCAAGCAGTCGCAAACAATAACTTGAAACTACATTTGGTTTTTATCTCCTCTATATTGGAAAAGTTTTGGAGTATAAGACAATGACAAACAGGGGAGAGGGAGATACATGCATTCTTCCTTTTGAATTAACAACTAAACATGTTTGCATACGTTGCTGTGTCATGTACTATTAGCTTGCCTTTAAAGATTTTTTAAGATGAGAAACCATAAACAATTTCCTCATTGATTAGGTCAATAATAATTGAGTCAATAATCAAACAACTAGCCCACATCAGCCTGTACAACAAACTGTATGGTCATCCCATCTACTTTTCCTCTTTCCAAATATACAAAACACAATTCAGAAAGATATGCACAAAAGAGTTCAAAAAAATATTTATATATCGACATTTATTGGAGAATATATAAAAATTAAACAGGAAAACAACACAACAATATCAGTTGATCAAAATAATATCTCAGAAACAGCACTCTTAGAAAATAAAGTTAGTTACAAACCAAAAGATTATCACACCAATCACTTTTAAGGTTCCTACCTTGGCAGAATATAAAATAACATCTTCTTTAGTTAATTTGAGTGAATGACTGCTTCCGTATGATGCAAGATTCAATGCAGCACGTGGTTCTGCCTGACAGAATAATCAAACATAGTCAAAAGCTAGTCATGACAGTTCAACAAGACTTTTGTGATTGTAAAGTTAATCCATCATTCTAAAGCATCTAAAATAATTTACTTGAGAGCCAGTGGTGACAATTAGCAGATCTTTTGGCGCATAAGCATCAATATCTTCCACTTTCACCTGTAGCGTATGAGCAATATCAGAAGGACTAAAGTAGAAGGACAACAAAAAGAGATTCATCATTATATTTCCAAGCTGATGCTTTCATCTTTATGCTATATATACCACAATAATAAGAAATGAAACACATATAGTCAAGTTTATGGATGCTTCAAAATGAAAGTACAAGTGTCAGACATGACACAACATGGATGTCAAGATTTAACATGGGACTGATCTTTGCTTACCGAAAAAATAAACACGGGACTAATCAACCACAAAATCCATGTTACATGGACTTAGGTATATCAGCCGGTGTGGGTAAACCTGATTTATTCCATCTTCAATGCAAGGACACATACACACCTAAGTGTTCATATTCTTTGTTATTCTAACTAGATTTTCGACGTAAAATTGTTATCCTCCCTTCTATTATTAAGTGTTTACATGAGCAACAAAGTCATTTTGATGCAACCATGTTATAAAAGAAATATAAGAACAGAATCTCAGTTAAAACTAAATAGTAGACTTAAAATGGCAGAATGCTTGCAGGGTATGTCCCAACAGAACAAGTCCTGTGTTACATGCTCATGCATTTAAATTCCAAGCAGTTGTTCACATCCCAAGTTCTGACCTAAACAGCTTACAAAGCATGCTAATACACATTTCAAAAGATTAAAGAGTCAATTACATTAAAGATCACATAAATTGACTGTTTGGGCAATGAAAGTCGGATGAATGCACTTTCAGCCCAACCACATGCTGAATGTAGGTAGATGCCAATTTTTTCAATCAACAGAACCTAAATCTAAGTTCTTAGCTATTCTTCCTTCCACGGGTTACACCAAATCATAGACAATACTTCATGATATACAAAGTAAAGCTCTCCCCCACAAAAAAGTGATAGACAAGAAGGGAAGTGCTAAAGTCATACCAGGGTTGATGGATCAATTGGTGCCTTTCCATCTTTCCATGCAGCATCAAGGTATGTCCTCAAGGACATACCAACAAAGACCTAATAAGATAATAATGTCAAAATCATATGTCTCAAAACTTTTGAGGTGGAAAATGTTATAAACCAAAAAATGGAAGAAGAGGAAATGAAGGATAAACTTTAACAACACCACAGAAACAGAAGAAAACACACCAACTTTCTGCCAGTCAAATCAGCTGCAGCTTTAATGCTTCCAAGGCGATGGATATTTGACGCAAATTGAGTGGTGATAACCCTTCCTTTGATGGCTGAAATGTGCCTCAACAATGCATCTGCTACAACAGTCTCACTAAGGGTCCTTCCAGGTGAGAGTACATTTGTTGAGTCACTCATCATCTGCAAGGGAATGTACAATTTATTGATCATCTCGCACAGTCTAGTTCCTGTTTTTTACTTTTTAGCCTGACCAATTATACAGAACCCATAAGACACTCATTTTAAGAAGAGAAAATTCCTTACTGCAAATGGAAGTTAAAACAACAATTGAAGTTCACTAATCCTTTCTCGAGCCCAAAAAAATCAAAAACTGAATGTTATAGTATAACCTCACATTCTGTAATAAAGGAGCAGGGAGAAATACATAAAAATAGCTCCCGGGACTTACTAATGTTACTCCTTCTTTTGACAGCTCTTCTAGAACTTCACGATCAAACACTTGCCCATCCAATGGTGACTCATCTATCTGTGAAATGTAAAAACTCCCATTAAGCTCAAAAAGGGATCCCAACGAGAGGACATTCAAATGGAACTAAAGAAGTACCTTCCAGTCCCCTGTATGAAGAATTGTACCATCCACACATCGGAGAACCAATCCACAACAATCGGGAATCGAATGGGTGACCCTGATAGGCTCTACCTCAAATGGCCCAGCAGTGAATCTCCTCCTTGTTTTAAATACTTTAAGTCTAGATGGAACAAACATCCCAAACTCCTTCAAACGCTTCTTAATAAGCTGCTCCAAAACAAAGAGGGATCAGCTTTCTACATTGAAGATGTATTCACATTCACTTTACTTTGGTAAGCATAAGCACGTGTACATGCATAATATAACAGGTCTACAAAACCCTCAACAATGACACATGATGAGTGCGACAGGTGCAGAGGTGGAGGTTAGAATCAGCCCCTGAAGCCAATAAGACATCAGTGAAATGATAAGCAAATTGAAGGACTAGTATGAATAGGTCTAGCAGCATATAAACTAGCACTAACCTTAATTAGTACTTATCCAGGCCATTATTATTGGATGACTGTAGCAATAAGTTCTTTGAAATTCACTACTACCCTAGGCTGTCAGATGGGCAGCCAACTAGAGTACAAAACCACTACAAACATGAAACATAACAAGATTAGTAGAACTCTGATCACAAACCTCCATGGTGAAGGATGATGCAAATATTGGTGTGCGGGAATCCAAAGCTGGAATTACCTGCCCGATAGCAAAGAAACTAATGAAAAACAATTTTTTTTCATTAAAAAAATGAAAAAAAAAAGCAAAGAACGCAAAAAAGGACAAGTACACCGTAATAAAAAAAATATTACAGCAGCAACAACATTAATGAAGGCAAGCCAAGCTGAAGATAAAACTATCTGTCGAGTTCGTCTAAAGTTCAAGCCAGCCTTGTATGAGGACCCAGAAGAATATAACATGTACAGAAATTTACGACTTCGGAGGTGAGGTACAGATACCCCAAAGTCCTCTTCATACCTCTTCTTTTCATCATTTTTATCCATTTTTGGCCTAATCAAGAGTGTCAATCCTTATTTATTCTTCCCCTCTTTTGTTTGATTTCTATTACAAGTAGGACAAGTAGTGGGCGTGGGGATACCTCTTACAAGTATATTCTTCGTAGGAAAATAGTTGAGAAACGTACAGGAGTGGGAAGGTGAACAATAGTAGCACCGTTGTAACTACAGCATAATTAATTATAAATTTTGAAACATTCTCACACTTTCTAATAACTTGTTCAAAATTAGAGCATGTTGATTCCTGCACTAGGTTTCCTAAAGTGTGTGAGCATATACACAATGGACTTATTTTTTGCCCCAGGCATGTGCCATAGACATGCAAGAGGTAGCTAATGCACGGCTCGTGGTAGACAGCAAAACATTTACATCAATAGGATTATCTATGTCCAAAACAGATAGCAATTCAAGATTGAAACTCAACAAATGTATAATATTAGTCAACGGAAATATCTGAAAGTAGAGCTGCAATACTGTACTGTACAAGACAGCATCTTCACATCGTTGGTGTTCATTTTTTATTTTTTTTTTTGAAAAAAAAATGTCTTTCCATATCTCCGAATCAAGTCACATCTGCCTCACTCTCTCCAGACAACTTATGTGTACATACATAATACAAGACTAAGTACATGTTTTCATATTTATGCCATTACACGTCCATAGGCTGTCTGGAGGCTGAATGCATACAACTTATGTTAGAAAGGCAAGCTTAAGGCTGAATTCATATAACATTAAAGATTATAAGACGAAAAATAATTTTCAATTCAAGAAGTTTACTTTAACTCTCCTTCATTTTTTCCTTTCCAGACTTGCGAGGAATTTTAGTGTTTTAAAATTCAAAACCTCTACAAGACGATTTTGTATCAACATGCATGCAAGATATAAATTGCTAAGTGCATTCCCACTTCCCAAAAATCATACGTGCTGTATAATCACACCGCTAAGGAGGTGCTACCTATTTGCGGGGCTGCACCTCATCCTACATCAAAACCTGGTCCAGTCGACAGACTCTAGCATCAGAACCACTGATTAATTTTTTGGTCGGGGAAATTTGACATTGGGACCAATAAGAATTCATGACACGCAGTGCATAAAACACAAGTTCCATGAGTCCACATATTTTCACCGACTCAAAAATCAACTCCACGTTGTCTCACAAACAAAACTAAAGCAAAAGAATTGGCATTGCATAGTCCAATGATCAAAGCATATCTGCTGCCCTATTAAAATTTGTCTTTTTCCTTTATCGGGGACACCAAAAGGCAACCCAAAAACACTTCACACTTTTTAATAGCAAAAAAACGCTTCACACCTCATGCTTGTCTTGTTTGTAAAAGATGGACAAGGCTCAAGCTTGTTTCAGTGGGGTTTGAGGTTTCAGTGATCGGACAATGAAATCGTGTTTGCTAGTAAAAAAGACAAAAATGGATTGTTTCCTATCAGTTCAGTCACATCACCCTAAAGAATTATAATTACCATGTTATCTTTACCATATATGTATTATTTATTTGTCTATTCTAGATTCATTTTAATCTTGCTATTTCTAATTTTTTTTCTTTCTTGTTTAACCTTATATGACACCATATCATCGCAATTACCTTTCAACAATCAGATACACTGCAACCAGCTTGTTTTGGTGCCCCAAAAATATGACTGATAAATCAACTTTGCAACATGATCAATTGAGCAGCTTATGAAAGCCATTATCGAACTTTGTAGCATACGCCTAGAACAGTAAAATACATGCGCTCTTATGCAGTTAATAAAGTGAGCTAAGTTGACATAGCCTTGGTTCCAAGTGTGAAGCCATGATCAGCAGAGTTCAGCCTTTGTCTGGCCATAACAATGTACAAGACATTTTCTACTACCTCCATTAACTTATACTATCAGTGTAATAAATGATGCAAAAAACATCTACAAGATTCCCAAACTTGGGACCACCACAATGCACACAAGTCCTGCCCACCACTGTAACCTAAGGGAAACAAAAAACATTTTCAAGAAGCAGAATGGAAACTTTACCCAAGGCAACGCACCAATGTGATCCTCGTGTCCATGAGTTATAACAACTGCTTCAATTTTGTGGTTCCATCTTTTGATAAACGTGGTATCAGGTATAATTTTCTGGACCCCAAGTTCTTCATCGCTGAAATGCATGTCAAACATGAGCCCATGTCAAGTTTATCAGAAAGACGTGGAGGAGATTAAATTAGCAACAAAAATATTTACACTTCGAAATAGTACAGCAAATGTAAATGAAAGTGCAGCGTTATAAAATTACAAACAACATGGCAAGGATGCTTCCAAAGCCCAAGCCTTGATTTGAAATGTGTTGGATGACACATGTTTGGGAGCTTGCATACTGTAGTGTATAGGCTTATACTATTCTGGGGGTGAAAAGCATTTTTGCAGTGTCAAGAATTTCTGGAATGGGACGCTTTAGTGACCCATGGATCTCGTTTTTGGGACATATTATGTTATAGGGTCTCATTAGTCAGTTTGATTGAGTTAGACTAGCCCGTTTTAAGTTTCCAAATTGCAGTCATAGTCCTAAGAGATCAGCATTCTCTTAACTAGATGTAGATTGACTGCTTCTAGTTCTAGAAGAGGCTGGAGATCTCGTAGAGTCTACATATAAATGTAATCTACCAAATCGAAGGAGGTTAGTTTGGAGAAAGTTGCAGAAAAATCAAAGCCTCTCTGGGGTTTGTGTGATGCAATTCTAACTCAGGGTGTGATGCAAACATTGCCCAGGGTTGATGCATTTGGGGCTCTAGGACTGAATCTTATATTTCCTCCAATTTTTTGCAACTAATTACCTGCAATCAAACCTATGCAGCTCTCTTTTAATCCCATGAAACCCTATTCAGCAGGTCCAACCTTCTCCTTCAACAAAAGTTCATTCCCAGCATTTGTTCAAACGTCAAACCCTAAAACCTAATTCACTGGTTCATTGATATTATTCACAGTACCTGAGCACACGTAGTTCTGCCACTAAAACTTCATTTTCCTACTCTCAGACCTTACCAACCAAACCCCTATTGAACCCTTGACCATTCTTTAACAAAATCAAAACTAATAACAAATATTTTATAGCAAACAGTCTGGTGCTGCATCAGAACGATAAACACAACAAATACACGTAAACACCAGTCTTACAAAATTTTCAATTTTAACCTAGCTGAATGCATGGAGGTAGTTTATCTGTAACTGACAAAATATGTACTGGATTTGTAAATTTTGATGAGTGCACTACTAACACCATGTAAAAGATAAGTAATTGTGAAAAGAGAAATTCCCAACAAACAGATGCTTCAAGCGGCAGGAATAGGTTAGCAACAATTATGAATATATGGAAACTCCAAGAAATGCATAGAAGAGCCATTTCCTAGTACTTACTCTGGAAACATGACACCAGCGTCAATTAAAATATAACGGTCATAATTCCCGACAAGCATGCAATTCATCCCAATTTCTCCAAGGCCACCAATCGGGAGAATACGTAGAGGTGGGCCAGCAGATCCTTCATAGAACTGTTCCATCTTCCGCTTAACAGAGTCTTCCATACTTTTTCCAGCCCCTTCTAATCTTCCAAATTTTTTACGGGGAACTTTAGATCCATGTGTACCTATAATGAGACAAAAGAACATAACAATCTTCACAACCAAAACGATGCAAAACAAAGACAGAAACATAATTGAGGCTTTGCAGTTTGAAAGAATAAAAATTATAACAAAAAATAGGTTTGGAAATTCTCCTCCCTCTCCCTTGAAATGACCAGGACCCGCGTCGTACAATTTTTCAGCTTTGGGAAAGCCTGCACAACTTTTAATGTGTTTGTGCAATCAAGATTTAAAACTCACATTTATGCACCACTCCACACAATTCACCAATTGATGTGGACTTTGGTCATCACAATGCATCCCCTTAAACCCAAACGTCCTTGTTTGGGCTCACCCTGTCCAGAGACTCCAGACACCACAAGAACAATGGCTTTGATGCCAAACGCAACGCCCCAGATTTGCATTACAAAAAATATCCGGTTTGGATATACCAGGATAGGCCCAGCCAGGTTTAAAACTTATTGTATAATGAGTTCAAACATATGTACTTTCCACACTTTTGCCAATCAATGAGGATTTAGGTCATCACAACCTTCCCAGCAAAACTCTCAAAAGAGAAAAAGTACTTATGGAAATAGGACATATGTATTTAACCCCAGAAGATAAATGTAAGCCTTGATATTTCAAGTACTAACGTGAGTACCAGATAACATTTGTTTGTTAACTTCCAGATTGCAGGAGAAGGGAAGGACACTTAACTTGTGAATCTACTTGTTTTACTTACTTGTGACCTTCCCCCCCCCCCGGGGGGCCTTTTCCACCTTTTGACATGTCAACTAATAGTCCGAAAATTTGATTATACTCCACCTATTTGATGTACTTTGGTTCAGTTTAACAGTTTTTGCAGAACAAAACTACATATATTCCCTCCAGGATTTATTGTCTTTTCTTTATTTCCTTCTTCTCACAAGCACCCATACGAAAACTTAGTTCAATGCTGACTTCAGATACAATGTAACAAGCAACCAGATACAATCAAAACAATAAGGAAGTCCAAAAGGAAATCCATAAACATCATAATCATTGCAATAAACCAAAAAGAAAAAGAAAAAAAAAAGACATGAAATTCACGAATGTGTGCCAACCATGACCCAAAACTTCGAAAACAATCCAATTCCACAAGACTATATACCTAGTCACCTTGCAACGACATCATAGAAGCTCTATTCTCAAATCAAAACGGCCAAAAAAACTCCAATTAATTGCCAACAGTCTCAAAGATTATACTACCTATTGTTGTTGAAGATGGGATAGAGCACGTAATAGGACGCTTTCTAGGGCTTGGTAGATACCATAGCTTGCACGGACAGAGTGAAGTAGCAGTAAAAGCAGCCATTTTTTTCAATCTGGGCCCCCTTTGTTTCAAGAGAACCTTAATACAACTTTGAAAAAGCCTTAAGCTTGATATGTTTGAGAGATGAACAACGCGAAAATTTGAAACCCTAGCATCGAAATTTAGTTGCAGGGTTTAGGCCATATGGCTATGGAGGCGGGAAACAGAGAGAGTATAGTATATTAAGAGTAGCAGTGGATTTTTGTGCTGTGACCGTAAAATATCCACCTTTCTTATCATTTTGAACAAGAAGATAGAAAGGAGGACAGGCACGTGCTCTCCATAGCTTTGCTCATGTACCGCACGTGACAAAATTTGTCTTCTTTTTCCTATAACTTTTTTTCTTGAATATTCCATAACATCTAAAATATAAAACATAGCGGGCTTCAACAAGTCGATCAAATGGTCACAATTCACTTCATCTAACGGCTATCGATCGTTCCCCATTTCCCCCTTAAACTCTTTCCCTTTCGTTCAATTTATTTTTCAAAATCAAGCCTCTTCATCACCTCACTGTCAGACATGTCACCTCCCTTCCATCTCTCTCTCTTTTTTTTTTTTCAAAATTATACTTCTCACAACCCATTCCACTGTCAGTCCTCTCTATCTCTCTCTCTCTGTTACGCCCCAGCGACATCAATAACACCACCACCACCACCACAGCCAGTTCGTTAGCAACACCACCACCAGCACCCCCTGCTACTGCTAACCCAGGTATCCCTCATCTCTCTCTCTCTCTCACACACACACACAGAGTAACCCCCCATCTACCACCACCTCTTCTCTGCCCTTTCTACGCAACACCACCCCCATCCTACCCCCCCCCATCCCTCACCTTCTCTGTCAATGTCACTGTTGTCAAGCTCAAAAATGTCCACCCAACACCTTCACAACCAACCATAGACACCACATGTTTGACAAAAGTTCTCAGAGAGTTTTTGCTCAACTTCTTTGGTTTATAGATTGTGTAAGTGGTTTGTCGATGCGTGTTTGTTCCCGTGTCAAGATGAGCCAGGGAAAACTCTGCATTTTAATAGTTTTTAGCATGGTAATAAAGTTGAAATTACCATGCTAAATGTCACGGTATTTCTGCCTTTTCAAACTCTCCACTTTTTTCGTTTGTCTGGTTTCACAAATTTTTCATGGTATCCTCCAATAACCTAGAACAACAAAATGCTACTCCACCAACACACCACTTATAATTGAAACTGATTTTTTGTCCTAAGGCATTTCAAGCTTGCTCTGGAGGAATTACTCATTTTATTGAAGTCTTTATTTGGGTTTTCTTTGACGGGTGTTTGGAAATTTTTGTTGGGGTTGTTTGAATTGGTGGGTATGTTTGATATTTTTCTGGGTTCTCAAACTGGATGGGATATGTATCCATGCATCCTCCTGTTTGGAAATCTGTATTTTTTTCTTTATATTTGTTTCTTCTTCCTGTTTTTTGTCCAGTTTATACATGTTTTCTTTACCAAAGACTACTCTAAAGCTGACTCACTTTAATTATATGCATAGCATGGAACCACAAGATGCCTGTAAGAGTAAAGAACCAGCAAAAATAATGAAGTTGTAAATTTCTATCAAGTTTATTTATATATACTTAAGCCTCAGCACAAATCTTACCATATTAGCACGTGACGATTTGCTACTTCCTTGTTTTCATAAATCAATTTTTTTTTCTTTTTTGTATTAGTAATTTGCCTACATAGCATTTCCATGTGTATTGTTGAGTGTAATTTTAAATTGTCCTCTGTCCAATTTTTATCTGGTTTACAGTTGGTAAACAAAGTTATGCTTACAGTTGGTAAACAAATTTATGCTTACAAGCTCATATGAAATCATTGAATAGAAAATATAGCAGCTATATTCTGCACTCATATTATGACCATAAACCTATCTTTTTAATTGACCCACACCACCACACAATGACACACCATGTGTTTGTTGAAATTCTTGAGATAGTTGACGGAATTTGGGTTAGGGCTTTCTTTAAAAGTGGAGAGGATTTGGGGTGTATTTTTGTTTTCATTTTCTAAACTTGATATAATTTGGGTTAGGGCTTTATTAATAGTTGTTATAATCTCCATCTAGGAACATGAATACAAAAAGTCAGTTTACTTGATTTGGGGATTTTGTCTGGCTCTATTAATCTACTTCATTTTGGTGATGATGTTCCATAATTCTATCTTTTTTGGTTTGATTAATTGAGGTTGAATGTATAAGCAATCGATCTTTGTTCAGTTTCAATTTGACAAACAGCTAAACTGGTTTCAAATTTTTTGTTCAGTTTATTTCTTTTTGTTTGCTAATTTTTTGTTATGGGTTTGCTTTAGAGCATTCACTTTTGCATATGAAGTTTGACTTCTTTGCTTTATTTCTTCCTTATTCACTTTTCATTCTTTGCTTGGAGTGTTGTGTGAAAAATTGCATACCTAATTAGCAGATTGAAGGAGCATAACTTCAAGTCTCTTGACATTTTGTCCATTGCTGTAATTTTTTACCTAAGTTGCAGGTATTTACTCCCCCTCTTGAACTCTTATAAAATGTTTTGATTAATAATTGTATTGTATGTATAATAGAATTGATTGATGGGGACTGTTTCTGTCTGTCAGTGTTGTGGGAAATTGTGGATAGTAGATGTTTATTTAATGGATTGTGTGAAAGACTATGGAGTTTTGTATACCTGTAATAATTAATTGAGTTTTTAGGAGGGAATTGTTTTTCACGGAAGTTTTGAAGGAATGCTGATACGTTTAATGACAATGTTCCCTGATTTTTTAACTATTGGTGGATTCAGAAGTTGTAATGCATCGCCTATATAATAAGGATGTTCCTTTTTTGTTGTTTTTCTCACATGGGTCCATGTCATTTTTTTGACAATCAGTATTTGATAGTGTGTTCTGATTTTTAACCTTTAAACCATGTCCACTTGTATTTTGGTGTTTTTGTTTCGTGAATCAAGATATTCAAGTTGGTAAACCTTTTTTCAATATTTTAATCAGTACAGACAGTTAATACATCATTCACATTATTTTAGGTCGTGGCTAAACCATTTTTCCTAAGTTGTGGCTTGAGATCATGTTTGCAATCACGAAGGAGATCTTTCTTTTACTTTGTTTAAGCCACATCTCTTCCCTTCTTTTTCTTGGTTTTGGTAGTTAACTGTCAGCTACCCATGTGTGGACCTGTTTTACATATTTATACACTTGACTTTGGTAGCTTTTGTGGTTCCAACTAATATAGAACTCCTGCTTGCACAGGACTTTCTTTTTCCTTTGCCTTTGCCTTCATGTTACTTGTTTATCATGATATTCAATTCTATGGCATTTCACGTTCTTTCCGAAGCTTAGTTAGTATAGTGGTGTTTAGGAATTAGATCTGCTCGGATTTTAAATCTTATGTTGTGGTTGGCCCTGAAGTTTAATTCTAGACTTTCCATTGTACAAATAATAATGTGGCGAGATATCTAATGATAGCAAATGGTTAGTGTGGGAAAAAAAACTCCATTGACAACGTCATGCACTATGAAATCAGTATGTGATTATGATCAATTGAGATAATCCTATTTGGTTATTAAAGTTTCCAATTATGGTACTCATATCTTCCAATTTTCAATTTTATCATTACATCTAAAGTCCAATGCTTTTACATGCATCTTAATTCAACAATGTAGTAAATATATATTCACTTCTACCACGTGTGCTGATGTTGTAACACAAAATTCATGAATCATTCATGAATTTCATGATTGCGGTGCTTCATTCAATTTTATTACAAATACCTCTTCTTGGTCTTTTTTATTTGTTTTTTGTTCTTGAATAATTCTTTTTATTAGTTTAACAACTTTGAGTGCAAGTGATTCATTAATGATTCCAAGTTATTCATTAAGCAATTATATTTTGTCCCTATACTCCATAGTTTTTTTATTGAATAGTAACATTTGCACCATCATTCCTTGTTGGTCGTTACTTAAATGCACACCTGTACAATTGCACATACAGAAGTATGGATCTTTTCTCGTTTATGTTGTGGTTTTATTGTCTTTATGTAGAAGTTAATACCCTTTTGCATGTTGTTGTTCTACTTTCCTCATTTGTCCATCTTCGACCTCCCACCCTTCCTCCCAATATGCCTGTAGCTGGACTACCAATAGAAAACATCATTTATCTTGGTGGATTAAAAAATGAAGATATATAAGGTCATAAAATTCAAATGTTAATGTTACATGCTCTATTTTTTTTTTTGTTAATGTATCAATTTTTTTTCATTGTTTTTTTTTTAATTATTACGACTTAACTGATTTTTTTTTTAATTATTAGGACTTAACTCATTTGTTATGGTTGTCTTATAAGTTGCGGTAAGCAATTGCAATTGGCGATATTCTTTAATTTGTGATTTTTTGTTGCAATAATAACTAAGAATATATGGGATATTTTTGTGTGTTGCATGCATCGTGGTTGAAGAAATATTTTCAGCCACTCTTTATGTCGATGGGTTAGGCTTAACCATTGTTTTTTAGCATTTGGTTAATCTTTCATCCAATTTTAATGTTTTTATTAATTTGGTGTTCTTGATTTATTTTCTTCAGGAGTTTTCTATCGCTCTCTCTCTCTCTTGCACATGTAGCACCTGAACAAACCATAACACAAGGTATTTTTAACGATTTTGTAACACTATTTTTTGGCTAGATAAGAATTTACTTGCTTTCAATGATTATTCAATTTTTAGTTGTTTAGTGTAATGAGATCCTAGGATTCTATTAATGAGATCCTAGGATATTTTTAGTTGTTCATTATTAAATTTGCAGCATTAAACTTGCTTTCAAGGATTGATTCTATTAATGAGATCCTAGGATTCGGGATAGACACTTTCAATGCTTGGATAGGAACCATTGAAACACTTTTTTAGGTTGACATTATTACATGTTTTCTTGGTACTTAATTGTTAGTTTTTATAGGTTGACACTATTTACATGTTTTTTTGGTACGTAATTGTTAGTTTCTTGTAATATGATTAAAGTTAGAGGTTCCTATTTACATTTTTGGTATTTACATGTTTGTTTAGTTACCTTTACTTATTTTGATGCTCTTTAATAACAGTCCCTGAACTGAGATATTACAACTTTGATGTTTGGGTTTCGGACTTCCCCTTTCTTTGCCTGTTGTTATTTTGTCTATAAAGATTGATTTTTTAGTTTATTA